GAAACGCCTAGTGTTGTAATAACTTTGCTTAAAGTACCTCCTTGATACCCCTGTGTTAGCTAAAACCAAACCAACACTAAACCAAGTGCCATGGAGTCAATGCTGACTCACAGCGACCCTATAAGGACAGGGTAGAACTCGACGCCCACCCTGCCCCCGAGGGTCTCTGAGGCCCTCATCTTTATGGGAGGAGGCAGCCTCATCTTTCCCCAGCAGAGGCTGGTGGAGTTGAATGGCTGACCCACTAGGACACCCAGGCTCAGGGGGTTATGCAATAACCAAATGCAATATCAATCCATGTCATCAAACAAACACTAACAACTTATTAACACAGGGCGACTATTTTAGTCAGGCAGCTGCAACTATTCGTTTCGGTGCTTTTTTTTCTGTTCTCTCCCCGCCCCCCACCCTTGAAATACAGTGCCTATAGGTGATTTTTTTATTACTAGAAGGTGGGGGGAGCCAAAACTAGATACAGCCCAGTCTAAAAGGGTAAGCAATTTATTTGCAAAAAACAATGACAAGAGTCTGCATGATTCTAAAACTCACTGTCTTGGAGTGTCTTCTGACTCATAGGACCCCATCCACTGAGTAGAACTGCCCCCCTACATGGGTTTCCCCGGCTGCAAATCTTTGCAGGAGCAGAAAGCTATGATTGGGCACCTAAGGTGGCTGTTGTATCTATCCTCTCATGGCAGATAATAAACACAGCCCCCTGGAAGTTTGGGCTTTGGCTCTCAAAAAAGAAAGTGGGGGCCACTGTTTATTTTCTTGTCAGCCTCGCTCTCTGACTCCTCCTTTGTCTGGGAAGGTGAGCTTCAGCCCCTGGAATACTGTCCAGCTGCTGTCTCTGTGTTGTCCAGAAACCAGGAAGAAATTTGACACCCACCGCCACACTTCCACATCTTGACTGCTGGGGGTGGGGGCCATTCTCTTGAAGGTGCTTCGAATGATCCAGACGTGTTTTTACATGATCGTTTTGTCTTGTCTCTTTTCTGGTAGGAACCCCTTGTCTCTGATTTAAAAAAAAAAAAAAAAAAAGCAAGCCGATCCGAGGAGGAGGAGAAATCAGTTCTTTCTCCTCCACTCCTTCCCTGCCTTCCCTGTGCCACCACCATCACCTTCTTGTAGAACTGGCAGGCTCTGGACTTTCTGCACGCTGAAGAAAATCACTGTTTTGCCTCCAGCAAGGAACAAATGTTGCAACCCCGACTCCTCCTCCAGTGAAGAAAGCCTGAACAAGTGCAGAGTTGGGCTGGGGACAGCGGCGGGCGCCCAGGCTGAAATCCCTGCGACACCATCTTCTGGGCTGGGCTTCCCCCCGCCACCCCCCCTCCCTCTTTTCCGCGCTCCGCTCCCTCCTTCTGGATTTTACTAGCCGTTCCCGAAGCAGCTCTACACACCATGGAGCTCCACGTTCTTTGGCAGGAAGTGTGCCCGGACTGAGACCGCAGACTTTGCTCCCGCGGCAAAAGTGAGTACGCACTGCAGGCTCAGCCTGCGGCCCCGGCGACGCGGCGGGCGCTGTCCGCGGGGCTGCGGCTGCGGGTTCGAGACCCGCGGGCGGCAAGGAGCGCCAGCGGTGGGCAGCCAGAGCGGGCTACTTAAGGAAACCCCAGAACCCGGGCAAAACCTAGCTGCCGAGGCGGGAAGGGGAAACCCGGACTCGACCGGCAGTCACGGTCCAGGTCCCTTCTCGAAGGAAGTAAAAATACCCGAAGGTGGCTTGTCACCCACCCGCGCGCCCCGATTTACAACTGCAAGACGCCGGCAGACCTGGGGCTTTTTAAAAAGGTGTTTCCAGATGCACTCTGGAGAATGAGTTTGGCTGTGATTGCGGGATTCTCAGCATGTAAATTCTTTACGTCGAAATGAAACGAAAAAAAAAAAAACCCCACACACACAGGCGAGAGGGAAAGGGGGATCCCACAGGTGGTGTGGTGCCCGCGGACTTGAGGAGCTCCCTCCCCAACATCACAACCACCTCCCTTCCTCTGGGACGGCTGTAGCGGAGAAAGTTCAATGTTATCCGTGTCGGACCCAAGGGCGTGCTCCCTCCTGCCGCCCCAAAGGCGACAGGGGTGCAGGCAGGTGAACCGCCCCAGGCGCTAACCTGGAGCCGGAGAGAAGGGAATTGACCCGAGCCAGGTTTCCCAGCCAAGGAGGCGGTTGGAAGAACCTGCTGGAGAACAGGAAGGGGGGAAGCCAGGCTAACTCAGGTAACTGGAGAGCCAGAACGCCTGGAAGGTGAGAACCCAGGCTGGAGTTGTGAGCAGAAAAATATCCTTTAGTGACCTCTACCTGTATGCTGGAGAAATGGCTCAGGTGTCCTGATAGCGAGTGATTTAGTGTTCTCCAAGACTGCACTAGAAGACAGTGGAGAAAATAATGTTTCTGGAGTGCACGTGGGGGGCCGAGGGCAGAGGAAAGGACCTGGGTCTGAATTCCATTGTCTTCATCCATCTAGTAGTTTGGCCGAGATGTCCCACGGGAGTCTCCTGCTTCTTGGCCAATGGAGTGTTGTTGCTAATCCCAACTCGGCCCCTGGCTGTGTGACCTGGGACAAGACACTTCACCTCTCCCCAGGACTCCGTTTTTTGGGGGTCAAATTTAGAGAAATTAGTTATTATGTAGGTGTGTACATTATTCTAATATACATAAGGTATTCCGTCTGGAGGGGTAAATAGTACCAGGAAGGAACATGAAAACTGTCATCTTAGTGATTCTTGAAAACTGGCTCTTTGAAAATGAACTATGCTGTAGTTGGGGTTGTGTACAGGGTACATAACATTTTGCATACAGTCCTGAGAGTATGTGGACACCCTCTGTGGTCCCCGCATTAATCCCGAGTGAACTTCTCTTGCCTCAAGGAAGCCTTCCTTCTAAGGGTGTGCATCAAGACCACCTAGCCAAACTTGACTGGCAGGTGGGCTGAATATAACCAGAAGGGTTCCCCTGGATTACAGTTGGCCAAGTCACTGAAGGGAAGGGGGAAAAAAATCCTCCTTTCATAGGTTCCCTCCCAGGAGGGAACTGGACATTGGCCCCGTGGTTTCACCAACCTCTGACTCCTCAGGACCCCTCCTCCCCTCCTCACACACTCTTCCAGTAACTTCTCAAAGCGGATGGCCCTCATTCCCAGAATTTTCCGTGTGCAAGATGATTCAAATTGCACGGGAGAGTCACCTGGGAAGGGTGCTGTCAGCCTCTAGATGTTTCCTGCTCACCTCTCCAAGAGTGTTCCTCAGGTCACCTAGCTGGAAGTCAGACATCAGAGCGGAAGTTATAAAGGAAAACAGCCTAAGTGTCCATCAATCCATGAATCAATAAGAAAAATGCAATATGCCGCTACAAAGGATTATCACTCAGCTAGAAAGACATGCGTGCCACAGCACAGAAGAACTTTGAAAACATTATGCAGAGTGAAATTAGCCACAAAAGAACAAATACTCTATGCTCTCCCCTCATGCAAATTAAATATATACAGAAATAAAATCTCATTGATGATTAGCAGGGGCAAGATGGGGGAGATATAGGGAGGTCGTTGCTCAGGGGGTCCTACGTTTCTGATCACAGTGGTGGGATACTTTGAAAACAGATGCTCGTTAATGGTTGCAAAACATGGTGAATGCAATCGGTGTCCCTGAAGGTTCATGTAAAGATTGTTGAATCGGTAAATGTGTGTTACTAAATCTATTGGCCAGAGTTGAAAAAAAATAGTAGCGATGTAAGATAGCATTTGGTATTAAATGAGTGAGTGATACAGGCAATTAGGGTTTCAGGGTTGCAGAGGGCAACATGCCCTAAGCCGACAGGGACATGGAGAAAGAAAAGGTTAGAGATAGACCTTGAGGATGAAAGATTTTGACACAAACATACACACACACACACACCCAAATGGGGAAGGGGAACAATAGCATGCTAGGTAAGGAAAAGAGCACCAGGGCCACGGTGATGGGAAGGTGCCTGGGGAGGCTGACTGCTGTCGTGGTTTGGGACTTTGACTTTACAGTGGAATCATCTGATGCCCGGGCCTCAGTCCCAGTGTGTTTATTTCTTCCGTGAAACCTTGGGGCGTGGGGTCTCAGAGTGTGATGGGTTGTTGCTGTTGCTGTTATTAATTCTCCCGCCTGTTTTGATGTGAAGCCAAGTTTGAGAATCATGAGTGAAAAGCCTATGTGAGATGATGAAAATGAAAGGGGTCAGGTATTTTTAAGGAGATTAGATGGACACCCGGGAGTGGCATCCTTGGAAGCATTATGTACACTCACAATTTAAGGGACTCGCTTTCCTTCTCGGGTAGCATTTTGCTTAGCATGATTTTATCTAATTAAGTGGTGTGACTAAAGGCCCTTTGGAGCCAGCTTCCCACGCCCACATTCTAAGTGCTCTGGCCCTCAGTCAGTCCCAGCTATGTGTGGTATCTCACAGCTGCTTGTACCCACAAGGTTTGGTGCAATCTTCACAAAAGGCCCTATGAGCATGCTCATTAGTAACTCTGCACAACAGTCTGTAACCTTCTCTCACCTTTCCAGCCTTACAAATTGGAAGAGATGGAGTTTAATTATTTGCCTTGAGCCATTAGGCAAGCTGGTGACAGGTGAAATGAGAATTCTCAGCCTGTTTTGACTAAAAAATTAATCTGCCTAATTTCCTCTGGGTGCGAACATACTCTGCCCAGCAATGTTATTTCTTACATGCATGAATTAGTGTGACCGATCAGTCGGTGAAAGATCACTGGTCTACCCTAAGCTGCCAACACTGAGGTTATCAGTGTTTGCCATCCCCTGAGCCCCATCCCTACCGCCTTGGCACTCCAACTCAAGTGGAAGTTGGCCATGTATGATTTAATCACACCTGCATTTCCCACTGGACCAGCCTGGTTTTCCTCCTGGTTCCCGCTTCCAGAGCTTTAGAGTTGCGATGGGTCTTTCCCCTTTGAAGCCCTGGTTACACTGATAGGATATCAACCTTTGGGTTATACTCCTGGAAAAGGGAGACTGAAGGCCAGCCTTTTTCACAGCTGTACTTGTAAAGATAAGAATCCCTGGTACGTGTTGAGAACTGATGGTGTCCTTGCCAGAGGTGAGTCTGGGGTGTCCTGCTGAAAAGAGTAACCAGAGTTAATGTGTTGGCCACACGGCTTCCCTGGGACCATAAGTGACATCACTGCCTTCTTACCACCAAATGAGGGTTTTCTTTTCTCTGCTTCCAAGGAGAATTTAGTAAACGTTTTAGCATTTTTCAAAAAGAAAGGAAATCAAGCCTCCAAAAGAGTGATCCTAAGACCTGGCTGCCCATTATAATTGCTTAGAGAGCTTCGAGATTCATGAATGTCCAAGGCCCAAACCCAAACTCACCGACTCAAGATCCTGGAAAAGAGGCCTGGGCCTTGGCTGCTATCAGTTTATAGTCTCCAGGTAATTATAATGTCCCTCAGGGGTTAAGAAATGCTGCTTAACTAAGATTAACATTTTAATTATTTATTCCTATTTCTTTTTTTGCCTTGCTTTAGGTCAAGTGACCTCAGAGAACTATGCGAGCATTTGTTGTTGTTGTTGTTGTTGTTCAGCAATTTCATCCTCTAGTTTTTAGAAAGTGTGATTTCCAGGGAAATATTAAACTTCTTCTACCTCTGTAAACAGATCTCCTCCTGAGTGGTCCTGCATAGCCCTGTGACTAAAATGTCTGTGTGTGCACTTAGAAAGCAGGTTGCTAGAAGATTAATATCATAATTATGAGATTGAAAGATGAAGGTTACATTTCTCTGCCACCCATGTATTAAATTCCCCAATTGCCATGTTGATCTTTCATTAACCAACATTTACTTTCCTGCCTCGGCCATTTAAAAACCAATTAACTTTGTTCTTGTCCACACGCTTATTAAAAATATAATTATAGCAATATTCTCCAGGGGCCATCATTGGCTAAGCTCTACCCAGGTGAATTGGCCAAGAACTAAGTAGGCTGTGGAACACCCTTCAATCCAGAAAATCCTTCAGGTTAATGTGCGAAAGCAACAGAGGCCATATCTGACCTTCTCTGGCTTCCGTGTTGCCATGGGACAGAGGTCAGACCTGCCTCCACCCTCCATCCTTCCTTACTTAGTCTGACGCCAACCTTTCCTCCCCCAGCACTCTGCTGCTATCTGAGTGTGATCACCCATTTCACTGGCCACATGGAACTCACAGACAAAGCTCACAGTCTCGAGATTTATTAGGTCATCACACATCAGGTTCAGGAAATAGTCAGGATCCATTCTTGGTTCATAACAACACGTCTCTTCAGCCAGCAACCAAGTGCCTCTCTGATCCTCAGCTTCTCAGCCCTTGGCTCTTGCCTCCGTGGCACAGGAAGCCAGCCCACAGCTCTGGCTCACAGTCTCATAGTCTTGGTGCTGCTCTGCTGTTCTGTCTCAGGGTCTCCTTGCCTCGGCCTATGATTTGGGGCATGGCTTCTTTGCTCTGCCCAGGA